CTTCTGAGCATTTTTAAAAAAATTTCATCCCTGATTTTTTCTGCTATCCAGTGTTTATTCAATAGCATACTATTTAATTTTCAGGTGTTAAGAGTAGCTTCTATTTTTTTTAAAAAAAATTTTTAGACATCGAAGTACCTTTATTTTGTTCATTTATTTATATGTGGTGCTGAGAATTGAACCCAGTGACTCATACTTGCTAAGCAAGCCTCTATCACTGAGCCACAAACCCAGCTCTATTCTATTTTTTATCATTGATTTCTAATTTCATTCCATTATGATCTGATAGAATGCAGCATATGATCTCTTTTTTTTTTTTTTTTTGTATTTGCTAAGAGTTGCTTTGTGGCATAAGATATGGTCTATTTTAAGTGTGTTCACTCATTGATGGATAAAATACTCTATATATGTCTGTGAAGTCTAAATTATTGGTTGTATTATTTTGTTCTGTAGTTTCTTTCTTTAGTTTTTGTTTGGAGGATCTATCCAGTGGTCAGAGAGGTTTGATAAAGTCACCCAGTATTATTGTGTTGTGATTTATTTGATACTTTTTGTGTGTGTGTGGTGCTGGGGATAGAACCCAGGGCCTCGTGTATGCAAAGCAAGCACTCTACCAACTGAGTTATATCCCCAGCCTGATTCTTGAATTTGAGATGGGTTGTTTGAGGTATATAGATGATCCATTGTTTGGGGCATAAATATTTATGATTTTTATGTCTTATTGATGTATAATTCCCTTAAGCAGGATGAAATGTCCTTGTCTCTTCTGATTACCTTTTGCTTGAATTCCATTTTATCTGATGTGAGGATAGTAACCCCTGCTTATTTACAAGATCCATGTGAACGGTACGTTTTTTCCAATTCTTTCACCGTCAGTCTGTGGATGTCTTTTCCTGTGAGGTGAGTCTCTTAGAGACAGCATATTGTTAGGTCTTGTTTTTGAATCCAATCTGCCAGTCTTTGTCTTTGATTGACAAGTTTAGGCCATTTATGTTCAAGGTTACTATGGAGATATGATTTATATTCTCAGTCATTTTGATTTATTCCTGGTTTTTAATTTGAATGTTTCTCCTTTGATGGGTTATTCCTTCAGTGTAGTTCTTCTCTTTGCTGTTTTTCACTTTTTCTTTTCATTTTATCTTCACGGAATATTTTGTTGAGAATGTTCTGTAGTGCAGGCTTTCTAGTTGTAACTTTTGTTTATCATAAAAGTTTTTAATTTCATCTTCAAATCTGAAGCTTAATTTTGCTGGATATAGAATTCTTGGTTGCATCCATTTTCTTTCAGAGCTTGGTATATATTATTCCAAGACCTCTTAGCCTCTCATATTTGATTTTTCCATTTCATTCTTTAGGTTTGGGTAATTAAAAAAAAATTTTTTTAGTTGTCAATGGATCTTTATTTATTTAGTTATTTATATGCAGTGCTGAGAAATGAACCCCATGCCTCACTCATGCTAGGCAAGCGCTCTACCACTGAGTCATGACTCCGGCCCCAGGTTTGGGTAATTTTCTGATATTATTTCATTGAAAAGATTGTGCATTCTTTTGGTTTGTATCTCTGTGCTTTTATATATCCTGGTAAATCTTAAATTTGGTCTTTTTGTGTTATCTGTTATTTCTTGGAAGTTCTGTTCATGGCTTCTTAACATCTTCTCTCCACGGTCAACTTTTATTTTCATGATTATATATTTTGTCTTCACTGCCTGAGAGTCTGTCTTCCAAGTAGTCTATCTGTTGGTGATACTTCCCATTGAATTTTTTTTTAATTAGATTTTTTTAGAGAGAGAGAGAGAAAGAATTTTTTTTAATATTTATTGTTTATTTTTCGGCAGACACAACATCTTTGTTTGTATGTGGTGCTGAGGATTGAACCCGGGCCACACGCATGCCAGGCATGCACGTTACCGCTTGAGCCACATCCCCAGCCCATTGAATTTTTAATTAGGTTTATTGATTCCTTCATTTTGAGGATTTCTGCTTGATTTCTTTTCAGAATCTCTTTATTTATTTTTTAAAGAGAGAGAGAGAGAGAGAGAATTTTAATATTTATTTTTCAGTTTTCGGCGGACACAACATCTTTGTTTGTATGTGGTGCTGAGGATCCAACCCGGGCCGCACGCATGCCAGGCGAGCGCGTTACCGCTTCAGCCACATCCCCAGCCCCCAGAATCTCTTTATTAAAGTGATCTTTCACCTCCTGAATTTTATCTGATTTCATTCCTTACATTGCTTTTACATCGCTCAGTTTAACTATGCACATTTTATATATATATATATATATATATATATATATATATATATATATATATATATAATTGGATACCATACCTTTATTTTATTTATTTGTATGTGGTGCTGAGAATCGAACCCAGGGCCTTACACATGCCAAGCAAGTGCTCTACCACTGAGCCACAGCCAGAGCCTCTTAACTCTGTACATTTTAAACTCCTCTGACATTTCGTCTACCATATTGTTAATGGATTCTATTATTGGAGAATCTTGGTTTGTTTGGAGTGATTTGTTCCCTTGTTTTTCATGCTGTTTGTGTGTCTTCCCAGCTAGCTGTGTGGATCTGAGGCAGTACAGTTTCTACCCTGTAGACTTACAGTGTCCCTGAAGGTTTTCAGTACCTCGCCTTTAAGGGGAAGAAAAAAACAAACAAACAAAAAACAGCCCAATGAAAATAATACACAGCCTTAAACCAAGTAGCTCTACTAAGACATCTACCGTTTTTGTTTTGTTGGAATAAACAGAAATGATGTTTTCAATTACTGCCTACAATACAAACAGTAAATTTGCAAAAGAGTTTACAATTTCAAATGGTGGACAAAGAGAGAACAGAGTGGTATAGGATGTGATGTTTATGAGGAAGGAAGAGAAAAGATAAGATAAAAGTAAAAAATTATAGGAAGGGCTGGGGCTGTAGCTCAGTGATAGAGCACTTGCCCAGCATGTGGGAGGCCCTGGGTTCAATTCTCAGCACCACATATAAATAAATGAAGAAAATAAAGGCCCATCAACAACTAAAAAATATATTTAAAAATTATAGGAAGAGTGAAAGAGGGATTAATAGAGGTTGGCTTTAGCAGGAGAAAAGAGAGAAAGAGAATCCAGGGAAACAGATAACAGGAAAAATATATATAAAGTAAAAAAAAATTTTAAATTAAAAATTAAAACACACACACACACACAAACAAAACTCATACTTGCTAAGCAATATACTATCCATACATTCCAGGCTTCAATGAACCAATGCATAAAAAATACTTGGCTTAAAAAATGGTAGACATGTGAGAGGAAAAAGAGAGAGAGAGAGAGAGAGAGAGAGAGAGAGAGAGAGAGAGGGAGAGGGAGGGAGGGAGGGAGGGAGAGATATCAAGATCGATCTCAAAGAAAAATTGTTTCCATTGGAACTCAAAACTTTCTTAGTTCTCCTTCTCAGTAGTTAGGTGGAGTTGTCTGGGGTAGGATGCTGGCTCCACTCTCCACATGGGTGGGGTTGCTAGGGTAAGGGTTAGTTGTGCAGGTGGAACTCCTGGAGGCGGGGTGCAGGCTTAGGTGTGCTCCAGTCTCTTGGCTGGGTGCCAGTCGGTCTGGAGATTTTACATCAGTGTGTTTCCAGCACTCAGCAATTGCCATTCCACCCCACCATATCTTTTTATGACATATGTTTCATAATCTAAAAAAGTCGCACTGAAGTTTTGGTAGGGCGGTGAGTTAAGTTAGATTGCATTCATTTAAAGAGCCTGGGAAGTTTGGAGATTCTACTTGGAAACATACTGTATCGTTTCATTCATGATACTAGAAATAAAACCAGCAAAGAAAAAAAGGAAACAATGAAAGGCTTAGGGAGGTCAGGTTTCAAATTTCTCCCCAGGGTCTTTCCCACTTCTGGAGAATGCTGCCAACAATTGTTCACAAGACTGACCACAGCCCTGAACGCCAGCTGGATGTGGAGATGTTTCTTTCCGGGAGTTCCATGGTGAATTCCAAGTTGGAATGAGGGCAATTGGCAGCTGGATGGTTCCCATAATTAATAAAAAATTATTTATACAACAATAGCAACTGCTGCTTATCTGGTTGAGGTATTCCGAGCAAACTCCACCCTCAAGGGGCTCAGATGAAGTATAACTAAACAGCCCAAGAATCCCAGCCCTTCTCACATGAGAAAGGCAAGCCCTCTATGGGCTGATGAGGCATAGGATAAGTAGATTCCCCAGGAATTGTTCAGTCCTCCAGAAAGCAGAGACCACATTGAGCATTGTGTGTAACAGACCTTGTTAGAATCCTCCTACCTGATGCCTCAATTTTTTTTAAAAATATTTTTTAGTTGTAGTTGGACACAATACCTTTATTTTTATGTGGTGCTGAGGATCGAACCTTGCATGTGCTAGGCCAGTGCTCTACCACTGAGCCACAACCCCAGCCCTGATCCCTCATTTAATATGACCACTTCATGGATCTTCCTGGGTTGGGGATTTCCCCCCTACTGTTGCTATGGTTTGAATGTGTCTCCAAAAAATCATGTTATTAGAACTTAAACCCCCAGAATCTGACACACACAGTGCCTTGGTGTCAGCAGACACTGGCATCCTGTGTCATTTAAAATTTATATCCACTTTGTTTCAATCTTGGCACAACCCTCCCATTTAGCACCCCTTGTATATAGTTTCCTGGGCCTTGGTTGGCATTTGGTCACACGTTTAACACTAAACACATCCTGTGCACCTCTGCACAGCCTGGCAGCATCCAGGAAGGGTCTTGAAGGGTGATCTTCACAAGAACCCGTATTACAGCAAGACAACCGTGGAGGGGAGGAAGCGGAGGAGCCCTCTGGCCTCTAGTCCCTTGTGTTAAGTTCTCAGAATTCCTGGAAATTGCAGTGAGGGCCGTGACCCATGAGGAACATGTACATAGGATGCTGTTTGAAAGCAGACTCAATGTAAGCTTGGTGGTTTGAAAGCATGCTAATGATGAATGTCACTGGGGAAAAATAATCGGACAGAAACAAAATATATTTATTAGAAATATTACAGTCACACATCTTACACTTTCAGGTTAATACATCTATGTTAGCATGTCATGTCCTGACAGTGCTTGGTTCGATCTAATGTGCTCTTTGTAGAAACTGGGCCATGGACGTATCAAGTGTCCTCAACTAATGCAGTTAAAAATCAGTGAACTACACAGGATGTTATGGGTTCAGCAAAACTCCAACCTGGGTCAGAGGACTGAAATGGCCAGTGAGCAAGGGCAAAAAGTATTAAAAATATTTTTTAAAAAGGCTGAGAGGTTGTATGTTCTACTGCTTCTCAAAATGGCCCTCAAAATGTGGAATGGTAAGAACTAACTTCTGGGTTTGGTAGGTGGGCTTGTCTCTAAGGAAGAGAGTTCACCATCTCCACAGGCCAGTGACACATCCACCCCTCCATGGGGAAGAGGGAAGGCAGAGATTGAGAACTGACATTTGTCGGTGGTGGGGAGGAGAACACAACAGCTCTCTGTTCTCATGAGATGGCTAATCACTCTGATAATTTTTTTTTTTTTGAGATGGCATCTTGCTATGTTGTTATATTGTCCAGGCTGGCCTCAAACCTTGGGACTCAAGTTATCCTCCTGTCTTGGCCTCCCAAGTAGCTGGGACTACTGGTGGCTGCCACCATGCTCAGCAGGACATTTTTGTCTTCCACCCATAGCATTTACTTTGGATGATTTCTACAAGAGCTGCCCATCAACAACAGAACAAAGGACAAAAAACGGAAGACCAACATTGTTTCTGAGGTGTGAAGGGCCTAGGAGGCAGGTTCCTCACAATGCTGTCCTGGGGAACACCAGTCAGCTGAGAAGCAATCCAGGAGGCAACTCCTCAGTGCAGAGAACTGCCAACTTCTCTTTGTATCTTAAATAACTTCTCAGGATCTTGTATTTTGCAGCTTTTATGTAAAAATCATACATTAAATTTTTTTTCTGCAGAACCACCAAATAATTTTAAATTAAGTACCAGCTGCGGGGGAGACGGAAGAATCATGGCTATGATGGTCTCTAAAATCCTCAAGACAGACAACTGGAAATGGTACAATTTGCTGAGAACTAGAGAAAACATAAGAAATGCTACTTAATTTTCTTAGTTTACCAGTTTTTCACCGTCAGTTTTGTGCTCTGAACGGTCCTAAAACTTGCACCTCCACACTCAGATCACCTCTTCAACAGTAAGGGAAACTCCTTGAATTTTAAGAACAAACTGCACGTGGCAGTTTGTTTCACAGGACGTTTTCCCCTCCTTCTTTACTGACAAAGAAGGGATAAGTGTGGCCAGTCATGGGTAATGTGGGCTCCTACTGGAGACGGCACGACTACACATAGCTCTGCCTGGCCCAGAGCTCTTCTGAAGCCCTTTTCACATCATCATTGCAAACAGAGTGTCAATCAGGCTGACCATCCCTCGGTGAATCCCAAGACCTCAACTGCTTGTCCCATACAAAACCCTGGGGTAATCCCAGTTTAGGCACTACCATCCACAGCTCAACCCGACTAGTTGGAATATACGTCTCTCCACTTTGATGGTGGCAAAGGAGAAGCTTGGGAATCATGAAGATGCGCCAACAATGTCAGCTTCGATGTTAACACAGGTGCAGGAAGCAGCACAGGCAGGGACTTTCATTTGAACACATTCAGCTGAAGGAGAAAGTTAAAACTGTTACAGCTGAATCCCAAGCTTCCATTCGAAAACAAGGGGCTAGTTCCATAATGAATGCTGGTCCCCAAGCAACTGCTTGGGAGCTTGACTTCTGCACGGCTGTGGGGTCACAAAACGAGTCCCCGAGGCCTCGGAATGACACACCACACATCTCTGCTCCCATTCCAGATATTCTGACTCACTGATCCAGGGAGGCTGGGCATGTGGCTTCTAGAAGCTCCCCAGAGGATATGGATACAGAGCCACAGCTGAGAACCACAGACCAGACTGGAAGGCAGAAACTCCAGCCCTATAGAGGTCACAACAGTTTGAGAATGAGGGCTGGCCTCACCCAGTAGACACCTCTGGGAAAAGTTAACCTGGAGGAGGGGAAAGAGCCCATACCACTCCCAAGACAGGGAGTGGACTCCATAACCTGTCCCTGAATGAGCGGCTCAGATCAGCAATCAGGATTCACTTTAAAGAATTTTGGCAGTAGTTGTAATTCTGGGGGACTTAATGTAAAGACATCCTTTGTCAGAGGGGTACTAACAGCTATTTGGCACTTAAAACAGCAAGTCATGGACATTTACACATCTACCTTGACTGCCTGTGTGAATGGGCCCCCTCATTTGCTACAGAATACATTTATTTGTCCAAGTAGAAGACCAGCCACCAGATGGATACCTAGACTGAGCACCTTGGGAGGTCCCTGCCTCTACTAGGGTAACCAGTAGGATATTAGGGGAAATGCATTTCCCTCCATTCAGTTATATTGGAGCCATCAAAGCCCACCCCCAAGAGCTTCTTTTTGTCATGCAAATGTAAAAGGCCCAGTATGAAGTCCCAAGGACTAAGTCGCCTGGAGTTGGAATACTGTTTGGATTTGCTGTCTATCCAGAATCCAGAGGGACATACACTCTCAGCCTGTTTGTGCAAAAACATAAAGACCACAACATACACAACATTGCACACACACAAGTGACTATCAAGTTCTTCATGTGTGACAAATGTGCGTGGGTATGAATAGGAGGTGAATAAATGGGATAGAAGATGCTGTGGACAATGACTGTGGTTTCCCTTTCAGCCCGTAAACCGTCCACTGTACACACTTCCTGCTATGAGACACCTCAGGGGACCTTCAGCAAGACACCGCAGGCTCCTTTGCATATTGAAGACTCAAATAGTTGAGTTCTACAGAGCCAAAGTGTTTCCAAGGTTGCTTTGAAGCAAAGCAAAAGTTTCTTTGTTTTTTATGTTTTGTGGGGTGGTTGACAAGGGCAGTTTTTATGAAAGCAAAAGCCAGGGATTTTAAGTAAAAAACCCAAAAATCAAAAAACAAAAAAACTGGTTTGGAGGTGTTGTACCTCAAGAATCTCTGTGCAGATTACGCATCAAGTCACCATGTGGGATTGGTGACGTCCTGGGTTTTTTCTCACAGAAATATGCCTGTGGGATCTTGGTTTGGAAGAAGGAAGGCCATCCTCTTTAGAAACCTGCCATGGAAGAGCAAAGATTCCCCAACTTATACTCCAAATGCATTTGCATTTGCAATAGGGACACTGCAGAATCCAGCTCTAGTTTCTTCTTTGAGTGTTGATTCACTTGGTTTGAGCCTTTCTTAGAAATCCAGGAGGCTGGACAGTGGGCAGAGCAAGATTGGTGGCAACCAGGTACTTCCAGGACAAACCAATGTTGGTGGCAGCTAATTCTTTTGGGCCCTGAGGTTTAAGTCTCAAAGTACTTGTAGATCTGGGCTACATACTGCATCACGCTCTGCCAGTCAGGCCGGTCAGTGTACAACATCTCACTGAGCTCCTGCAGGGAAAAGGAAAGGGGACAAGTTACAAGGGGAACATCATAGACCTCTTCCCACTAAGGGACTCATATCCAGATCTTGGCGTTTACTGCCTGAAAACTCTCCACCTACACAACGATGTAGTGCTAAATGTGCCAAGGTAAAAAAGACTTTTCATCCTATTTATTCCCTTTTAAAAGATGCAAGACATGGCCTCTTGTTGCTTTTGTTGTTAAACATGACAGCATTAAGAAAGACCTGCAAACAGATGATCTCAGTCATAAACTTGCTATCAGAAAATGATTTCTGTTTTCCTTAATTACAGTCACATATAAGTAAATTAGTCTCTGACTTCCAGGGTTCCATAGCAGTGCTCATGTTAAGTGTACTCTCTGCTTCTTCATGGACTTTTTCATATGCCATTCCCCACGCTGCTGGGTTGTTTGGCTGGCTCCCACTGTGCTGGATACACCCTGTCTAAGGGGACTGCTGCCCAAGGTTGACAAGACATGTAGTTTATGTTCACTTCTTCACTGTTCCAGAGTTCACAATGAACATCTCTGTGCAGGACTGTTTCCTTCCATTGAATTACTTAAGAGAAATTCCAAAGAACAGAGTTGAGCCAATATAAACACTTATTTTGCTAACATTAAGTCATATCATTTAATGTGTGAGTTTTTGTTGTTGTTGTTTATTGCATTAATTTAGTAAATTTCTTGCATTTACATATTTACTTTTGCTAACCTCTTCCTCTTATTTTAAAAATTTCATTTATTTATTTTTGCTAACTTTTCAATGCACAAGCTAATACAGAGGCTATAAAGTGACAGGGAAGAGGACTAGGCATTCTGCAGAGCAGTAGGTCGAGCTTTTTCAAAATTTGTGCCACTGGATTTGTTTAATAATTTAACTTTGGGTCTGAATTTGTATTCTTTTGTGGTCACAGGAGAACAATAGGAAAGAACCTTGATGGAAAGCCAGAAACAAAGATGCAATGGAAAAAATAAGGCTGAACTGAGTACATCTGTTCCTGGGTGGTGACACAACTAGCTGAGGTTGTTAACCAGCCATTTATCCTCTGATTCAACAACATCTAAATATATTTTGCTTCCTTCTTTGCTTCCTGGTTATGCTAAAATTATCAGTGTATCATTCATTATTCATTGAGAAGGGGTCAAAAAGGAGTAAGTGGAACAATCTACACAGATATGCCTAGAATAATTTTAAAAGAAAGAACAAAATTTCCCCAGATTATAAGGATCAAAAAGTCTCTTTCCATCTGGGCATGGTGGAGCATGACTGTAAAATCCCAGCTGCTCCAGAGGCTGAGAGGCAGGAGAATCACAAGTTTGAGGCCAGCCTTGGCAACTTAGTGAGACTTTGTCTTAAAAATAAAGGGGCTGGAGATGTAACTCAGAGGTGAAAGTATCCCTGAGTTCAATCCCCAGTACCAGAAAAAAACCAAGAACATGATCAAGAAAGAAAAAACAAGATCAATAAATGGGACTTTATAAAAATTAAAACCTTGGGCTGGGGTTGTGGCTCAGTGGTAGAGCACTTGCCTAGCATGTGTGAGGCCCTGGGTTCGATTCTCAGCACCGAATATAAATAAATGAATAAAATAAAGGTCCATCAACATCTAAAAAATATTTAAAAAAATAAAATAAATAAAATAAAAATTAAAAACTGCTCTGAGAAAGAGAGTGTTAAGAGAATTAAAAGTTACAGAGTGTGTGGCTGGGGTTGTAGCTCAGTGGTAGAGCGCTTGCCTTGCATGTGGGAGGCACTGGGTTTGATTCTCAGCACTGCATATAAACAAATAAATAAAGGTCCATTAATAACTAATAAAATATTTTTTAAAAGTTACAGAGTGGGAAAAAATAGCTAAAAATCACTTATGATAAAGGACTTTTATACAGAATATTAAAAAATTTTAGGGCTGGGGCTGTGGCTCAGGGGTAGAGCGCTCCCCTAGCATGTGCGAGGCCCTGGGTTTGATCCTCAGCACCACATAAAAATAAATAAAGTATTGTGTCCAACTACAACTAAAAAATAAATATTTTTTTAAAAAATTTAAATCCAATAATAAGAAAGCAATCTGATTTAGAAATGGGCAAAAGAGGGCTGGGGATGTGGCTCAAGCGGTAGCAAGCTCGCCTGGCATGTGTGCGGCCCGGGTTCGATCCTCAGCACCACATACAAACAAAGATGTTGTGTCTGCTGAAAACTAAATAAATAAATAAATATTTTAAAAAAAAAAAAGAAATGGGCAAAAGATTTGAATAGACACTAGACCAAAGAAGATATGTGGCCAATAAATAGCATATGGAAAAAAGCTCAACATAATTTGCCAGTCGAGAAATGCCAATTAAAACAAGATAATCCCCTACCATCCCACCCTATACTGGGGAATGAACCCAGGGGTGCTCTATCACTGAGCTACATTCCCAGCCCTTTTTATTTTTTGAGATAAGGTGACTAAGTTGCTGAAGCTGGCCTTGAATTTGTAATCCTGACTCAGCCTCCCAAGTAGCTGGAATTATAGGCGTTATATACTTGGCAAGGTACACCCCTATACCTTTTAGAATGGCTAAAATCTAAAAACATGGAAGTACCAAAAGTTGGTGAGGATACAGGAGCAAAAAAAACAAAAACAAAAACAAAAAAAAAAACACCTCTTTTCAACTTACTTTTTACAACTAAATAAAAACAGCTGGGCGTGGTGCTGTGAGACCATAATCTTAGTGATCAAAGGATTGCAAGTTCAAGGCCAGTCTGGGCAATTTAGCAACCAGTTTTAAAAAGCTTTAAAATAAAAGGCTGGGGCTGGATGTGATGGTGCACACCTGTAATCTCAGCAGCTAGGGAGGCTGAGACAGGAGGATCAGGAGGCGCTAAGCAACTCAGCAAGACCCTGTCTCTAAAGAAAATACAAAATAGGATTGGGGATGTGGCTCAGTGGTTGAGTGCCCCTGAGTTCAATCCCCAGTACCCCTCACCCCCCCCCAAAAAAAAAGGCTTGGGATGTCACTCAGGGGTAGAGTGCCCTTGCATTTAATTTGCAATACCGAAGGTATTAATTTGCCCAATAATTTTCCAGACAAGCAAACATACAAGAAAGCAGCAAGTGGATGCCAGGGTGAACAGGGCTGGGGTTGTGGGGCAGTGCTTGACAGCAGGATGAAAACTAGGGGCAATATTTTTTTTTGGTTGGGTGGCGGGTACAGGGATTGAACTCAGGAGCACTCAACCACTGAGCCACATCCCCAGCTTTATTTTGTATTTTATTTAGAGACAGGGTCTCCCTGAGTTGCTTAGAGCCTCACTGTTGCTGAGGCTGGCTTTGAATCCGAGATCCTCCTGCCTAATATATAATGGGGAGGGTGTCCAGGTAGCATTCAACCTAGAAGAGGATCCCATAGCCCCTGACTTAATGTTGACGCAGGCCTTCTCAGAGGAATTTGTGCTAAAGGCATTGGCTAGCCCTATTCACTTAAGAGAAAAGGTGAATTTAGTGAAATTCCTGCATCTCTGTGATAGTATCTAGATAATAAAGCCCCAAGTGGATAATCAGAGAAAGTGACATATGAGATTTTTTGTTTGTTTTGCCAGGAAACATACAGTTATACTCATTTGGCCATCTAATGGACCTATGGTCTTTTTTTGAACATGATCCAAAGTTAGGGTTTGAAGCCATCTGTCTTACAAAAGCCAGACCTCATGATATAGGATCAAAGAAGTCCCCCCCACCAAGAGATTTTAACTGGATTTTTTTTTCAACTAATGATACAAAAATCTAAAGAAACTTGTGAAGCAAAACGACTGCAGAATCCCTCTAGATGTTTATAATTGCTTTTAAATAATAATTTTCATTCTGATTAATATAAAATATTAATTTATGATTTAATGGGTTATTATGAAGCAAATATTATGTATAATGACCAACCAGATTAAGAACAGGCCCCTTCCCTTTCACAATCCGCCTTGACAGGTTGTCATTTGTGTCTTTCAGAATCTTTTGCAACACTAATCTGGCAAGAAGAAAACTACTATTCATATGAAGCTGATTCTGATTTTAAGATACAGAGATTAAGTACCCTTTACAATTGCAATACCAGTGCTAATACAAAGAAATGATTCTTCAATGAGGTGGATACTATGTATGGTTTCCCATGGAATAAGAATCTAATTCTGGGCTGGGGTTGTGGCTCAGCGGTAGAACTCTCGCCTCGGACATGCGAGACCCTGGGTTCGATCCTCAACACCACATAAAAATAAATAAGTGAAGTAAAAGTACTGTGTCCAACTACAACTAAAAAATAAATATATAAAAAAAGAATCTAATTCATGGAATGCTAAAGACAAATAAAATGGAAGAGAAAAAAGTTCCAGCCAGGATGAAAATGAATTTGATTTAAAAAATAATGACTATGATTTTCCTCAATACTTTGGTGTTAATGAGCTTATAATTAACATCAGAAATGTACTAAAGTTTCCTATGTTATTCACTTAATAACACATAGTTGTTAATTACAATCTATAACCTGGAATTGTTCTAAGAACCTTTTAACTTAGTTAATAACAAAGGCAAGTCATGTGTATGCCCATGTTCATGCAAGTACTATTCACAACAGCTAAATCTGGAAGCATCCCCAGAGTCCAAAGGATGAATGGATGAGCAAAGGTGTGGAATAGACATAAAATTGGGATACTATTCAGCCTTTAAAAGGAAGGAAATCTGAACATATGCTAAACATGGATAAACGCTGAGAACATTATACTATGTTAAGTAAATCACCTGGAAGGACAAATACTGTATGACCAAAGATTATGTATGACAAATACCACTTATATAAGGTACCTGAAATAGGTAAATTCATAGAGACAGAAAACAGAATGGTGTTTGCCTGGCTGGGGATGAAAGAATGAGGAGTCAATGTTTAATAGGCACAGGATTTTAATTTTATAAGATAAAAAGAGATGGAGGGGATGTGAATATACTTAACACCACTTAAAAATG